TTCCTTTTTCTTTCTTCCTTTGTTGTCATCAGTGGTTCTCCCATAGGTGAGTTAGAATCACCTATGATGCCTTTTGAAGAAAATCAGGCTTATCCCCCAGAGATTATAGTATAGTCCTCTTTCAGGGAGCGCACATCAGAATCTCTTTGCAAGAGTTAGAGAAAGATGAGAAAGGTCACGTGGCATTTGAAAAGCTCTTTGGCGAAGCTGAGATGCACATTTCATCCCTCTGAATACAGATGCACCTTGGTATCCAGAGGGGATTGGTTCCAGGAGCCTCACTAATACCAAAATCTGAGGATACTCAAGTCCCTTATATGACATGGCATAACTTTTGCATATAACCTATGCACTTTCTCCGGTATACTTTAAAAGATCCCTAGATTACTGATAGTACCTAATACAACCTAAATGCTATGTAAATAGTTATGACGTATTGTCATTTTTATTTGTGTTATTATTTTTCTGATTATAAAAGACATACAATTTTTAATTTTGTTTTATTTCAATAGCTTTATGGGGTACAAATCGTTTTTGGTTACATGGTTGCATTGTATAGTGGTGAAAAAGTCTAGGCTTCTGTTTTTATTTGTACTCTTCTTTATTGTTGTATTGTTACTTTTATTATTTTCAAATATTTTTGATCCAAGATTAGTTGAATCTGTGGATGTGGATTCCATAGATGTGGAACCTGTGAATATGGAGGGATGGCTTTGTATATCTCCAGCCTAGATTTTTACTTAAATTTCAGATTCATTTAACCAACACTGGACATCTCCATGTAGCTCTCTGTAGAAACCTCAACAAGGCTCACTAGGTCCAGAGCTGATTTTTCAGTGATTTTTCCCTCACCGTTCCTTTTCCCAGTTCCCTTTCAATGAATGGATCCATCAACCAATCATCATCTAAGCCCTAAACTTGGGTTAATTCTGGGCTCCTCAGCCTCCCCAAATTTCATATCCAATTCGTCACCAATTTTGTAAGATTTAGCTCTGAGATTTATCTAGAACCTGACCTCTTTATCCTCCCTGAGACTGCCTCAGTCATGTCACTTGTCACCTCCCTCCCGGGTCACTGCGCTTCCTGGGGTCTTACTAATACTGTACTCCATCTCCTCACAACCCATGTAATTAACCTCCCTGCTTAAAACGTTTCAGTAGTGTCTCCTTCTCACAGGATCGTGGCCCAAACTCACGTGGAATAACTGATAGTTCATCTAATATTCCAGGCTGCTTCTTCTGATGGGAATGCCTTGATCATGTTCTGGTGACCCAGCCCCACAGGCCAGCACCAATCATGTCTACTTGGTAAAACTCTTGTCTTTCAAGACAAGACAAGACTTTTTCTTTGAAGTCTTTCTTGACTGTTATCTTCTTCCTCTCCCCCATCTTTTTTTTTTAGATTAGAAAACAGTCTATTTAGAAAGTAAATTAAAGAAAGAAAGAGGAGATTCACCTCCTCAAGGCAGGGAAGTGAGCCAAAGCTTAAGAAAACATCGCCTGGCCATAGCTCATAGAGCACCTGGCCATACCATAGCTCAGCAAGACAATGGCGGCGATGGTCTGGCAATGGCCTGGCAATGGCCCTTTCCTCCATCTTGAAGCCAAGGCCACCCACAGTTTCTTTCATGGTTCCTCTGTATCTTAGACAGAATTCAGCAACAATAACTGTATTACTTTACTCACTCATATTTTTCATACCTTTAAATTCATTCATGCATTCTTGGCTTATTAAAATATAGTATCATTATACAAATAAAAAATGATACCGATTTTTAAAAAAGGCTTTCTTGATCCAGCCATCCTTTTGCTTGTCAGTTTGCTATTATTTCAGACTGTTTTTTTACTAACCTGTATCTTGGAGCTATTTCATGTGAGTGCATGCATATAGACCCATCTCTGGACAGAGTATACTTGCTGCAGATTATTCCCAAATATGGGTGTACTGTAATTTACTTGACTTTTCAGCTATTAATAAATATTTTGGCTTTCCCCCACCTGCAGTATTTTGCAATAACAAACAGTGCCACTGTGAATATCATTTTTATACTTCCTTATGCATAAATGCCAATTATTTGTCTTCTATGGAAATGCCTAAAAGTAGAAATTCTAGATAGAAAGTGTACATATTTAATTCTACCTATTCTTTTCACATTTCTGTATTTGGTAGTTTTTTTTCTTTTCTGATGCATTAGTAAGTTTTTTTGAATATTCTGAAGAATAATCCTTAGTCTGATACTCACTCACAAAAAGTATATATATATATTATATATACTTCTTACTTTATACATATACATTATATATATGTATTCCATTTTTTATTGTTTTTAAGTTTGATTTATTATGTCTTTTGTCATAAGAAGTTTCATATTTTTATGTAGTGAAATTTATCATTCTGTTTTTGGTTTGTGTCTTTCTCAGGAAGATTGTCCATATGCCGAGGTTGCTTACATATTTTCTTTTATTTTTTGCTATTCTACAGTTTTGTTTTTTACGTTTAGCTGTCTATACTACTTGGAATTTAGTTTTGCTTATGTTTAAGGGCGTTACCTAATTTTCTTTTTCTGAATTGATAGCTAATTGGTCCATTTATCCCCACCTCAAATTGAAATTTTTTATTAACTAGATTTCTAAATATAATCATGGGTCTGTTTCTGTACCTTGTATTTGATTTTCTTGATCTTGTTGCTTATTTCTGGGTCAATACCATACTCTTTTATTATTAGAGCTTTATCATATATTTTGCTGTCTACGAAGGAATCATTTATTTTTTTTAACTGTTTCCTATGAAATAGTTGTCTGAATTTCAAGACTTTTTATATAGTTTGCATCCATGTGTGTTTGATGATATAAATGAATAAACCAGAAGCTTTTGATGCTGTACCTTGTATTCTCAAGGTCTCAAAATGACTATGATAAAAATAACAACTTTTTCAGTTTTTACTTGATCTCTATTATAGCTCAGTATTTGGAATATGTTATTTTATAGGAATCTTATTATTTCTTAATTTGCTTTTGAATAAATAATACATGTAGAATACAAGGCTCAAAAGGTTAAAAAATTAAAAATTCAAGTCCTCTATTTTTTTTTTTTGAGTTGGAGTCTCACTCTGTTGCCCAGGCTGGAGTGCAGTGGTATACTCCTGGCCATCACAGCCTCAACCTGCTGGGCTCAGGCGATCCTTCTGCCTCAGCCTTCCAAGTAGCTGGAACTATAGGCACACGCTACCATGCCCAGATAATTTTTTGATATATTGTAGAGACGAGGTCTCACCATGTTGCCCAAGCTGGTTTTGAACCCATGGGCTCAGGCAATCCTTTCACTTCGGCCTCCCAAAGAGCTGGGATTATAGGCTTGAGCCACCGCACACAGCCAAGTCTAGTTTTTAAGAGGCAACCACATTAGTAGTTTCTTCTTTAACTTTCCAGAATGGTAGCACACCATCCATTCTGTTCTGCACCTTGCTGCCTTTATTTAACAATATATTTGGGAAATAATTCAGTTCATATGATGATGCTGTTTTATGAAATGACTGTGCCATGATTTATTTAACCAGGATAACAATTCATTTGCTTTAATAAATATCTTTCATATGTATAATTTCGCACATACCTAAAATAAAAGTTCTGCACATGAATTGGTGGGTCAAAGGGTATTTAAATTTTTAGCTTTGATTTATATTGTTAAATTGTCCTCTAAGAAGTGTTTTGAAACTTCATGAATGAAGACCCTGATGTCACTAGCCACCAGACTTCAGATGTGCTTAGACATGCCCTAATAGCTCGGGAACACCATAGAGGCTCCAGCTGGAACCCTGGTGGTGAATGGAAGAGAGAGAGAGAGAGAGAGAGAGAGAGAGAGAGTGAGAGAGAGTGTGTGTGTGTGTATAACAGACACATGGTAAAAAGTTCATGGAAGACCCACCTGTAAGTCAATTAATTAGAGTCCTGTTTAAAATTCCAATAATGAGGGGAAGCATTAGTGGTTCGAATAAGGCTCTTTGCCTTTATTATTCATTAGGAACTGGCAGTAAATAATAGGTTTGAATTTCACAGTCCTGATACTGCTAATCAAAGCACAGAGCATTTCTTAAGATCATAAGTTATTATCTTTCACAGCAGGAGCATAAAGGGATTTGGTTTTATGAATTGCTAACTGGGACACTAGCCTCTGTCTGGGTCTTGGACTGAGTCAAGGGAAAGAAGACTGGTCATCACATCTTGAAACTGGAACGCTGCCTTACAGTGGGACACAACTTCCTCAGTCTTATGGTGTCCTTTCTACCTGGAGTCAGCTGGGACACCTGACCCATCCCAGATTAAATAGCCCTTCATTCTTGTTAATCACAGTTCATGGTGTTTAGCAGGAAAGAAATGTCTCTAAACTGGAAGAGGGCTTTGCCTGTGGGGTAGGAGACCATTTTTACTGCACCCTCTTAGCGAGTTGGTGCTAGTTTTAGATTGTGTGTCTCTCATTTCCGTCTGGTATGTCATATTTCCCTCTCATCTCTCCCTCCTGCTTCCCACTAATGTTTATCTTTATTGGGTGGATCTTTTCTTCTCCTGGTATGTCCTTCTCTGCACAAAGGGAAGGAAAACACCAAGTTTGCATCTCTCCCTTTTGCATCACGGGAGCAGAAATAAGATGAATCCTTATATTTTCTCTTTCTTTCCTTCCTCCTCTACTATCTCCTTCCCCTGTGTTTGTAGCTCTTCATGAATTCTGGTCACTTCCAGTGGGAAAGGAGTCTGTGCTATTCTCTGCCTGACTCCGGTTTCCCTTTCCTGGGACATCTACCCAGCCCAGCACTGCTTTCTTCATTCCTTCAATGACTTGTCATGCCAGTCTCTTGGCTGCTTTTGGGTCACAGGACCCTTGCATCTCCCTTATATTAGTTTTCAGTGCCTGCTGCACATAGCAACCTGAGCACAAGAGTTTAAAGCTGCCAGTTAGCCTAGGCAGAGAAAATACCTTTTAATAAGCATTAGCCAACACAGCCGTACTTTATACCAAAATTTTATTAGGATTAAATCATATTAGAAAACTTCATGCCTCACCGCTTGCCATATTTACCCGAAATGACAAAATTATCCTTAGTTGAGTACAAAACCATTTGCGCCCAAGAGTCTGCTACTTGGAAAGCAGGAGAACAGACGCGCATAGTAGTGTACCTGACACCACCGCATTTAATGTTTAAGGCCTAACAAGTGGTTAGCAAAGCACACTTGCTTTCAAGCTTTGGGCCTGAGGAAGATGTCATTCCCTGCCTCTCTCAAAAGCAGACTCTTCATAGTCTGGGCACCTGAGACCGGAGCCTGCTTTTTTGGAGTTTAATATTAACATCATTTCAGGAGGTGCTAGGCTTGAGGTATCATTATGGCTTAAAAGGCACAGGGGGCATGCAGCTGAATTGAAAGATACTGTATTGGTTTCTGGAATGCAGGCTGTGAGCCTCGCCTTATGGTGTGTGTGGGGGTGTCCTTAGTATAATCCCTATCATGAGCTCTGCTCCTCTTGCCCCTCCTCCTGCACCTCTAATCAGCTGTGAGTGTGGAATGGGGGGCAGGCTGGGGCCCCTGCACAGACTCTTGCTACATGGACAGCCACCTGTGCTTCAGAAACTTTCAAGCTTTGGGCCTGAGGAGGATGTCATTACCCAGCAGACAGAGTGGACCTGATGCACAACCAAGAAGGGACTCGCAAGCAAGCAAAGACAGAAAGGCCCATTCTTCAGGTAAAAACATGGGATGGGGAGGAGAACCTGCTTTCCCTGGAAGGGGTCCCACCCAGCTGGAAAGCAGCGCTGTGTTTGGTGCAGGGCACACCCCGCTCTCAGCAACCCCTTTGGTTCATGGAATAAGTAGCGTGAAAAGGATGCCAACAAGAACAGCAGTTTCCCTTACTCGGTGTGGGTTCCATGAGGCCAAGAACAGTGGGCACAACATTTCTCTGGGCTCTGTCCTAGGGTCATCGAGAACAAGTCCTCAAACAAAAAACTTATCACTTCCTAAATCATTGGCCATTTCCTTCAGCTCAGGGGCAAAATTTTGACCCTCAGAAGCTCTTTTTATTTTTTTATTTTGAAACTCTCCCTAATAAAGGGTCTAAATCCAAAATTGAAGCAAAGAGCCTGCAGAGCTGCTTCCAGAACAGAAACACCCTGCAGACCCAGCACATCTGTTCCATCCTTCCAGCAGCTGGATTCCTGACACCCCCCCACCCTATCCCCCACTTGATGGCCACTGTCAAAAAATTAAATTCAGTTGCATAATATAAAGGGATGATAATAAATTTTCATTTCTTTAGGCACCAGAGGATACATGTGACAAGGCTTTGATTCTCTCCAATTTATGCTCTTAATACATTTTCAGACTCTCCCCTGCCCTGCCTCATCAGCTTGGCTTCTATTCCTCGTTGAGCCTTGCATGACTTGTGATTACATCTGCACTCTCCATGCCAGTTAATTCAACTGGGATTGACCCGGAGTTTGCTCAAGTTTGAGTTCATAGCCTCCCAGGCCGAGGTCTCCCTCATAAATGTTTTCCTTGCTCGGAGTCTGGGGTGAGGTTTTCTGGTCCAGACTCAGCCTTGCAGGAGGACTGCAGGGTGAGGGAGCTTGCTCCTGGTAGTTCATGTCTAGCTCGTCCTGGTTTACAATGCATTCCACGTCGTCTTCTTTTAGCTGTTCCTGGTTTTGGAAAGAGAGGGGGAGAGAGAGGTCATTTCATGATGAAGGCAGAAAACAAGAGCAATCCTACAGTGTAAAGAAAAAAAAACATGTTTGTTGTCCTTTTTGTAGTTGATTGTCCTGTCTTGCCTTGGCTGAAGTTTCTGCTGAGGCCATGGCAAAGCATTTCCCCGAGACAGCATTGAACACAACACTGTATGCAGCCATAAGGGGTCTCTAGGCCTAAGATAAAAGCATTAGAGAGCACGCTGATTGAGTGTCTCCTTGGGTAAAGGAAGTAAAAACGGAATTTGATGGATATTATCTCCATTGGCACTGACTAGGGTTGAGAGGAGAGTTGAAAGAGTCCTGTGACCTCAGAATAGGAAGGTCTTATGTTGGTGTTGTAACATTCCTGCCTATCATACAATGCTTGAAAATATAGTTTCTGTTACACTTTTACCTTAAAAGTGGGTCCTCTCAGCATGCTTCTTGGGGATAAGTGTCATAAGGCTAGAAAGGGTTGGAAGTCACTGTAAGAAACTAACTTGATCTGGCCAATAATAGTTTCCCTCATACAGAAATTTCCTTCGAAGAAAGAATTAAGATCTCAACTCTTCTTCCATTGGCTATGGGAAGACCACGGTAAATTACTTGTAGAATGGGCCTTGGCTAGGAGACCTTAGGACAGTGGTTCCTAACTTGAGCCTGTACCAGGATCAGGTGGAAGGCTTGTTAAAACACAGATTGCTGTCAAAGCTCAGAATTTCTGCAGTGGGGCCTGAGAGAGTGCATTTCTAACAAGTTCCCAAGTGATGCTGAGACTGCTGGTCTGGCGAACACACTTTGAGAACAGTAGTTCTCAGGCTGGGGCCTTGAGGACACTACCTTAGGTTTCTGTGTCCTGAACATGTTTGAGTTTTTCTGGGTTTATATGAGGGCGGCCAGCTGGACAATTTCTTAAGGGCAATTCCAATCTAAGACTCCACCGTTCTCCAAATCCTTGACACTCTGATTTGTTGGTAATGATTCTAATTGCTCCTCAGCATTTTTTATTCCACTCCCTCGAGCCATAAAGCACAGGCCTAATATTCAAAACCTCAAAACACAGCAGTTTGTGAGGACACATTACTTCGTTTACATTTTCTAAGGTCATTTTATGGTTAAAAATATTGGTAACAATAAAAAATTGCATTTTTAAAAGAAGAATAAGCCAACATCAGCAACCCTTGACAAGAGAAGAGAAATGCTTCTTGGGGCAGTGAATTTTAAAAATGCTTCCTCCTCCAGCCGGGGAGTAATGGGCTTGAGGTTTCTGGGTTCATCAGTATGCACCACGCCTGTCCCACTGGGATATTTACTCACCCCATAGGCCTGAGGACTGGTGAGCAGCCTGGAAATTGGACCACACCATTCAGGTAACGTTGTGGTCAGTGGAGGACCAGAGTGGGTTAGAATTGGTTTCAGATACCTGGGAGGCCTGTTAAGGAATGCTTGTCAAAAGGGAGTTAGGGTTTAGGAATCTCACACAGCACAATCCTTGGCATGCTGGGAAAAAAAACGGCTACATTCACCTTCAAACCTCTATTCCCTCATTTAGAAAGCAATTTGCCCTGCAAAAATTGCTGTTTATAATCTTTGCTAGACACAGCCCTCCCGATAGCCTTTAATCATGAAGAAATGGTGACTGGACCAGACCTTGTCAGAGACAGGCATAAATGTTCTCTTCCTAGCCCAACCCTACTTGATGTCTCATCTGCTTAGAGAATGCATCCTTAAGAATTACCTTAAACAATAGCATACAAGATTGTGTTTTCTTAGAACTGCACACACACAGCTTAAACCACCAGTAATTTTCACAAAGAAGCGAGAAGTATTTCATAAAATGTTCAGTTATTTTAGAGCTGGGTAGTGAACATAGATTGTTTTCCAAAATACTTTATTTTCACTATTCAACACAGTCACTTTATACTTCATACATCAGTGCCTTTCTATTCAAAATTATGTAAATAACTGGTGCCAGGTTTATTCTATTGTCTAGCACCTGTCTTTCTCATCTCTTCATCCCAAAGTGCTTAACAAGTTAAAAGAAAAACCTGTTCATCTAAAGCCATTATGTTTCCCTCCAATCTATCAATAATGAAATCCCCAGAGACTCCCTCAGGCTGCCTTATTATTTTATTTTAGTTTTTTTTGTGTGTGTGTGTGAAAGAAAAGTAGTGGAATTATTTCACCATTCCATCAGAAATGTCTTTTAAGCTTTATATTATTTCCTCTACTGGAGAATATTTCAGCTCATCAACTTTTCAAAAAGCTGTAATAAATGGGGAGAGGGAAAGAAAGGGAAAGCAGTTAGCACTGGTTGGCTCGTGAGATGAGCAGCTGCCCTCAGATGAGGGCCGTGGAGTTGCCTCTGCTGGAGCCATCCATGAATGGACAATTCCTGTATCCTCCTCGTGATGCCCTGAGTGTGTGGACACACACAGAGGATGCACCCTGGCAGAGGCTAGCGACCTGGTTGTTTCTGGCTGTATCATTTGCCACCAAAGCAGTAGATGTGCCTGAACATAGCCTGGGTATGATGTGAGGAGAATGACTGGGAAGATGCTGGGGAGGGTTTACAGTTCCAACTGCAAATGGAAAAGTCAGCGCCTCCTTTCAGATGAGCACAGCTGTTGTGCCTAGTTAGGAACAAGGAAGATACTGCGTTAAAGTTCAGAGCCTGGCATTTGCTGTAACATCTTGTAAGTCTAACTACAAATCTGAAAAGCCCTAGATGATCTTTCATTAATTTTCATTAGAGTGTTGTTTCCTTCATTTTATGGATGAAGGAATTGAGGCCTAGAGATATAATGATTTTAAATAAACCAAAGGCTCCCTTTGCTATTTGAATTCACCAACATCACCCTTAGAAGAAGATAACTCATCAGGGCAGAATCCTGCTTTGCAACCAGCTGGACTTTCTAGAGAGCAAAGAACACAGATCTCATCCCTGCTGGTGATCTGCCGAATCACTCAGGCTGGGGCCCGTGAGGACATGTGATCTTGTTCAGGTTTATGGCATGCACTGCTCAATGCAAATGCTTTTCTAGGGAGGTCAGGTGGACAAGATATATACAACTAGGAGTGTAAATCAAGAAAAAAATTCTAGCAAACTTTATTTACAGATAGAAAAGTGACAGCGGGTAAGCAATGTTTTTAGAGATGTCATGTTAAAAAAAAAAAGATGTTTGTCAAGGCATTAGAGTTTGAGAGAAACCTTGGCAACTTCCACTGAAATTCCCAGTATATTGAAAAAAAATGCCCAAATAATGTTACAAAAGTAAAACACAAGTTTAGAATTGTATAATGAACACTTAAAAACAAAACATGATAAAGTATTAAAATCTACATACAGAAGGTCATCTACATACAGATGAGTTCCATTTTGAGAGTGTGTTTGTAAGTCTAATTTGTTCTTCAGTTGAATAAGTTGGCCTAGGTACCCAACTGATACAATTGACTGTATAGTACCAGCTACATCACTGCTGCTTTTATACTTGCTTCTGGATATCTGGACTTGAAATAAAGTCACTGAACTACTGTACTTTGTACAGTACTGTACAGTAAAATACACAAAAGCACAACGACTTGTAGAGGGTGCATGCATATGACAATGTATGCCCAATATATGCCAGACATGTGAACTAACTTACATGATTGAACGTGAAAACACACGTTTGCATCTTTGAAAGTTCGCAACTTGAAGGTTCCTATGTAGGGGACCTGCTGTATAGTAGTCCCCTTTATCTGTGGTTTTTTCCCCCCACCATTTTAGTTACTCTGCAATCAACCCCAGTCTGAAAATATTAAATGGAAAATTCCATAAGTTAAATTGCATACCATCTGAGTAGCGTGGTGAAATCTTGTGCTGTCTACTCTATCCTGCCCAGGACGTGAATCACCCTTTATCTAGTGTATCCACACAGTATATGCTACTTGCCCATTTGTCACTCAGTAGCCATCTTGGTTATCAGATAGAAAAAAACTGTAGTATATAGGATTTGGTACTACTGGGGGCATTGGAATGTATCCCCTGTTGAGAAGAGGGGACTTCTGTACAAGGCTATTGGAGTGAACACTTAAAGGATAAATGTATAGCTCTTTGTGACTATAAGGACTGCACCAAATAGGGGACCACTTAGCCCCTCTGAACAGGCTCTGGGATTTTGACTCCAAATATCTGGGCATAAATACCAGCCCTGCCACGTTACTGACCATATGGTATGTGGCCTAGTTATTTACCCTCTGTGCCTTAGGTTTTGTTGTGAAAATAGACTGAAATAGCATATGAAGAAGTGGTTTTAAACTTTGACATGCTATTCAAATACTATTTCTTTTTAAAATTTATTTTCCAGACTAACGCTTTCTGGAGAAACTGGTGTCTCAATCATTGTTCAAATTAATGGTGTGGAAATGATACCAAGGATACAGACAAGAGCTTGGCACTCCAGGCATTTGGCATAGTGCCGGGATTCACAGGCAATTAAGTGGATGGAAAACTTTATACAGCTATTTTTGTTAAAAATTGGTGTATGGAGGCTAGCGTGAAGTGGGTAGAATCTGTTGATTACAGACTCTTCTGGAATGCACATGGTACCATTTTGCCTGTCCTGGTATCTCAGTAGTTGTGAGTCAAAAAATGAGGCATATCTTCTGTGGCCATGAGTGGGAAGTAAAAACCATCATACACATCCATGGTAAAATGTGGAGCAGAGTCTGTATTCCCTAGCATCTTGGTTTGCCCAGTGCTCATATATTGTGTGCTCAGTGGATGTGCAGGGGTGGCATGAGGGATGGAAGGACATCCTGAGGAACTATGCCAGAGACTGAAGGGGCAGATTACAACCAACAAATGAGCTTTCCCTGAGGACAGAAGACTTTGAAAGGTCAAATTGAAGACACACCACCCAGGCCTGAGTTATTAGACACAGGGGACCACAAGAAGAGTTGGTAATGGCGAAAAATAAGGTTGTTAAAAATAATCTTTGTATTTCATTCACTCACTCATCTGTTCCTTCATACACTTACCTGCTTTTGTTTTTGTGCCAAACTGGTGAGGAACAGAGTCAACGTTCCCACACAAGGAAAGTAGCAATTATATCACAGAATGGAAAACTCGCTTTTTTCCGGACCATGGTCTACTTAAGGGCAAGGCTATCCCCTTTACCTGGATACAGTGCTTAGCACTTTTTAGATGCTCAAGAAATAGTTGTTGAGTTGATGAAGACAGCAGGTGTAGAGAGGATAAATAAATTGCTGAATGGAAACTGTCAATTAATTTACAGCAGAACTGGGTCTGAAACCAGGGAATAATCTACCACACTAAGCCATCTTCCTTCTATTATAGAAACATTGAATAATGGGACTTGTCTCATTGGATAACTGATTTGGAATCAGGGAATCAGTAATTTTGAGTTTCTCATTGCTAAGCCATGTCTGGAAAGTGGTTGGATCTCCAGGGTTACCTGAATTATTACAAATAAACTAAAACCTCTTTTGATCTACCAAAAAACCCAACTGCAGATTCTGCTAAGTATGTTATTTTTTTCTCTGTAGGTTCTAGTATATGTTTGGGGAGGAAGGTTCCCCATTGTATATTTTTAGTTTGACTAGTTTTGCTTCTCTAATAAGCCAGAAACACGCTGAGACAAAATGTTAAACTCTGGGGGAAAAAAAACCCCAATGACTTTTCTCATCTTTAAAGGGCATAAGTTTGGGAATAGCAGTTTGGTTCAGGAGGTGTAAGTAAAAGCTGGAACTCTAGCCAGAATTTAACATGCATGAAATAAGAAAGACAATTAGCAAATGCATTTTTCTCTTTTGGTCTGAGCTAACAGCAGTCCTAGAGCTAAATTTAGTGCTTAACCGAACTAACATCCAAAATCCAAAATACCTGGTATCATTGATCTCTCTCTCTCTTGTTTGTTGGTTGTTGTTTTGATTATTTTAAATCTTCATGTTTTGTAAATTGTAAGTTACTGAAACTGCGTGCACTGCTTGCTTAAGCCTATGTCTTTTTCTTTTCGAGTTGGAGTCTCACTCCATCACCCAGGTTGGAGTGCAGTGGCATGCTCACGGTCACCCCAGCGTCGACCTGCTAGGTTCAGGTGATACTTCTGCCTCAGCCTTCCAAGTAGCTGGAACTACAGATGCACACCACCTTGTCCAGACAGTTTTTGTGATTTATTGTAGAGACGAGGTCTCACCAAGTTGTCCAGGCTGGTCTCAAACCTGTGGGCACTTGCCTCGGCCTCCCAAAGTGCTGAGATTACAGGCTGAGCCACCGAGCCCGGCCAAACCTATTATATGAAGTGGTTTTGCATGGGCTGGTGAGAAGCAAAAATCCCAAGCAAAGATCCACCTCCACTAAGGAACACCTGCCCCTTTGAAGGGACTAAGCCTCACTGCCCCCTGTATGGACTGGATATT